GGACCCCCACAGGACCACCACAGAGCAGGTATTATTTGAGTGGTTCATTCTCAGCACTGCAGTGACACTGACATGGTGGTGTGTTAGTGTGTGTTGTGCTGGTACAAGTGGATCAGACAGAGCCCTCAGTGTCACTGCTGGACTGAGAACAGCCCACCTACCAAAAATATCCATCCAACAGCGTCCTGTGACCACTGATGAAGGACTAAAGGATGACCAACACAAACTGTGCAGCAGCAGATGAGCGATCATCTCTGACTTTACATCTACAAGGTGGACTGACAAGGCAGGAGTGTCTAATAGAGCGGACAGTGAGTGGACATAGTGTTTAAAAACTCCAGCAGCACTGCTGTGTCTGATCCACTCGTACCAGCACAACACACACTAACACACCACCATGTCAGTGTTACTGCAATGCTGAGAATCAACCACCACCCAAATAATACCTGCTCTGTGGTGGTCCTGTGGGGGTCCTGAACATTGAAGAACAGGGTAAAAGGGGGCTAAGAAAGTATGCAGAGAAACAGATGGACTACAGTCTGTAATTGGAGAACTACAAAGTGCTCCTATATAGTAAGTGGAGCTGATGAAGTGGACAATGTGTGTAGATACAAATAGGTGTTCCTAATAAAATGCTCAGTCAGTGTAAATTTCCTTTACTTTGCCTTTTTAAGGTTCATAAATATGCAAGAATTTAGAAGCAACTAATGAATTTAATGAAAAACAAAATCCTGAAAAAGTATCCTGAAACCATTCACCAACACAAATAGCCAAAACCAAAGCAACACATACCTATACAAAGTAATCATAACAAAAAAACAAACAGCCACTCTTTTAGGCCAGCCAGGTTAATTTTTATCTCCCAAACAACAACAACCTTGTTCATCTGACTTGTTGGTTTACAGCAGCAGTGACCGTTCCAACATGGCACAGATGAATCTTGGCAAAATAGGCATCTCGACACGCATTATGTGTTTTGACAGGTTATGCTTATGAACGTTTTTCCTGTTTAAAATATCAGATTGCAGGTTATGTAGGCCGTCTTGCCTGCTGGCGTTTCACCTGCTGCTTGACAGAACAACAGATATAACCCAGTTGGCCTAGTCATAAAAAGCCAAATTAACTCTTTTACCTATTTTGGGTTAAATTGGTAGATTTCTGTGTCAGCTGAGAAGGAGGCTGTTTACCATTTGAGCCAACACTGCTGAAACCAGTGAAATATTACATGCTGCGGGGGACTGGTTGTCCTCTATACAGGGTCTTTTCTCCTCAGTAGATGATGTGCCAAGATGCTGGCTTATCAAGGTAACATTTAAAAATAGGAAAATTCATTTTCATTGCTTCTTACTCTATTTTACTTCACCCATCAACATTAACAAATAAAAAATAAAAAAAAACCTCTCACGCTCCGCAGTGATTCTGATATTGCGCACCCCTACTAAACATCCAGTTGCTGCTCACTTTCAATGTAGCACTTTATTTGATTTTTATTTTATTTAAATAAGTAACTGTTTTTTTCTCTTTTTTTCTTTTTAAAGGCAGTGAAAAATCTAATTTACCCAATTTTTCACTCACCCCAGATGTAGTCCTTCAGCTGAGACCTGTTTGGAACCCAAATTTTGCTTCTTTAGTTTAAACTGTGGTTGTGAGGCTAATAAAAATGTTAGAGCTCAACTGTCACCCAAATAGCCCAAATCATTTCCATAAAATCACATACCAAACTTCTTTCAACCCACTCAGACCACATTCAGGTTTTCATTAAGGTCACACAGACGTGCCAGTTTGGTTTATAGCACACTATAAAACTGAATAAAACTTCACCGCTACAGGCAGCCATTTCAGTCAATACCACAGCTGGTATTCACAAAGCAGGACTGATCTTGGATCAAGTCATACTGTGTCCTAAACCAAAGTCTGTGTGACCTTAATGAAGACCTGGATGTGGTCTGAGCAGCTTGAAGGAAATTTTGCTGGTGTATTTTTACAGAAATTATTTGGAAAATTTGGGTGACTGAGTTACAGTGTTTGTTAGGCCAATGAATACTTTATTTTTACTTTTAAAGTAAGTAAGCAAATAATGTTATTTATATTTTGACTTACAGAAAGTACAGGAAATGTGCTAGTGTGCTTAATGTATTCAATCAGCCCATAAAGCGTGATCTTCCGATATTAAGAATAAAAACACTAAGTAAAAATCAGCCAAAAAACCTGCTATCAGCCAATTTGGCTGTAAGGTCATCAGAATCTGAATAAGCCACACAAATTTATGATCTGTGCACCTCTACACACAAGTATTTATTGGGTTCTATTCTCCTGCTTTGCCCCTATCAATATATTTTCACTACCTGCACCAAAGGCATCTAAGCTAAGTTTGGCAGTCTACAAATTTCTATTCAGGGAGACTGCAGGAATGCATTCATTTTGACAAACGATTGCACACTCAAACAATTAAAAGTAGCTATAAAAATATCATTAAAAGATCAACTTTATGTTAACATACAAATCATAGCCTCAATGATTAGCTTGTTCCCTAGACAGCAAAGATTTTCCAGTCATGTGTAGCGTTTCAAATTCCAAAATTCCTACACAGGTTCTCTCAGCTGAGAAACATTTCCAACAGAGCCTCAATTCAGTGGAGCCATTCCTCAGAGACCTGTGAAAACTAGCTTTCACAGACTAAGCCTGCAAATGAGAGAGGCAGACCAAGACAGATGCAACTGGGTTAGCGTAGCTCAGTCGCGTCCAGTGGATACCTACTGAGTCAGCTGGCCATCATTTCCGAACGGGCCTTGTTAATTCCAATATCAATCTCCATTTCTACTTACAAACCCATGTGAGGAGGCTGAAAGGTCAGGCAAATCAATTGGTACATGCTTGACAACTGTACGAAGGGAAAGACTGGCTCATACAGCCAAATGATAGGAGTTGGAAAAATAGTAACAGAACTGATAAGGTTAGCGTAGTAAAAGCAGCAGATCAAACATTGGGTGGGTGTTAATCATCACCAAGGTCATACAGACAGTGATTACCAAAGTAATAAAAGGGATGAATGAAAAGAAACTATGATCAGAGCAAACTGTTGAACATCACACGGTATGAGTGTGACTGGTAGGTCATTAAAATAAGCTACTTACTTACAGGCCTACATCATCATTACCACTAACATGTGCACTGCAGATGAACTTATGTGCTCTTTTTGTAACACTTCCTCCTCTTTAAATAGACTAAAAAGTACTCAGTCATCATTCTGCCAAAAGACCCATCGTGAGTTTACATAATAGGACTCTGCGAACCTTCATAAAGGACATACAAATGCCTGAGATGTTTGAGACCATTGTGCAGACAGGAATGTGCTACAGGCTGCTGAAATACTCCAACTGCAGGAAGAGCTTAAGCTCTGACAGAAAATGTCTTACAGCCATGCTTTTAAATATCACGCACAAAAATCATTTCCAAGAACTACAATGGTAATCACTACGTCTGATTCTTTTCTGAACAGTGTAGTCTGTTAACTCCGTCGTCACTGTTTCTAAGCACATCAACAACATAAAGAAAGTCATCTGGAAATCCAGAGGAAAAAACAGAAATAAACATTCTTGACATGAGCGTGTTATTTACACTCTGACGAAGACTGTACAGTGTAGAAAAGGTTTCTATCCTGATATTGTCACTTTGTACTGGATGACATGTTGAAAACTCTTTGTTAACAAGAACTTCTTGTGATTTTTTTTTAATGTCGACATAATTCAGTCGTTCAGATGTGAACAAAATCATTCAGTGCAGTTTGATGTGAAATGGTTCACTGCAGAGAAACCTACCCAATCTTCTATCAATGGCAGTGATAGGAACCAGGTGTCACAATGTCTACTTTACAAATCTAGCCATTTTATTTACTATCCAAAATGACCAATGAGACTTCACATGTCTTCTGAGTTCCTACTTGTAATGTTGATAATGATAAGGTTTGGGGGGTTTTGGGGGGGTACAATCTGGGTACTTTTTTGACTTAGAATGCCCTTTATGTTCCTCTGTACCATGAATAAAGTTTAAAAAAGCATATTTGAGGCCAGAAATCAACTTCTAAAACATCATAAAACAATGTCTCAGCATTAGGTAGCGTATTTGTAACCATTTTATATAATACTTTTCTGTGAGGGAGCTTTTAGAGGCATTAAACACACAGGATGTCTGCTTCCTATCACCACCACTGTGAACAATTCTGATTTGGTAAGTTTCTCTAGAACAGAGCATTTCACACCAAACCACTCTGAATGATTTTATTTAGGTATTAATGATTTAATATAGAAATTTAAAAAAAAATAAAATCAGTGAGATTCCCCTTTAAATAAACCCAGCATCCATCACTGTAGGTACTAAGGTCAGGAGCCAGTCTTCTCTTGTTGGCATCCTTTTGTTTTATGGTCTAAAATAAAATGATAAATCTCCAAAGTCAGAGATGTGAACAACAGCACAGCAGTACAGGCACTGTCACCAATGTAACGCATTCAGTTAAAAACTAAAAGAATCTGTAATTACATGTTAATGACTTAAATGTAACAACGAAAAAAGTAGATTACTTTTCTTACAAATTTAGGGGCACAAGTTGAGGTACTACGAAAAGAAACGAGACTCAAAAGAGTACAAATCCTTTAAAAATTACTTAAAAACGTAACTAGATGCCCACCTCTGTCTGAACATTGAGAAATAAAGAAAAGCAGTGAGTGAGGATGTCTGGCACTGAAAGGAACAGCGTTACCTTAAATGCAGCACTTAATTCTGGCATGAACATCGTGAGAGCTCGTCAAACAGAGGGCGAATAACAGAAACAAGCACAAGAATGGAAATTTTGTGTAGTCCTATTCCCCCTATTCCCTATGGACACAGAGGAGGAGTTTGTAAAGGCGTGAGCTGCAGGCCTGAGCGGTACTTGTAGGATACAGTACAGCTGGGCCACAACGCAAAACAGCAGCTGAACGCTAAATTCAAAACCCTCTTTTTACCTTTAAAATGTTCTCTCTGCCGAAGACTTCGTGTGATGGTCCAGCTTCTCCGGTGTAAGCTGAAGCAAGTATTCCTTGAAAACTTGAAAAAATAAACGACAGAAAGGCTCCCTCCTCCTCCTCCTCCCGGCACACAGACACAGGCTGTTCAGTTGGCAGTGCAGTCCAGAGGAGTCAGTACAGCCCTCAGCCGATCCACAGCCGAGCCTGAACACACTGAAGCCAGCCAGAGCAGGAGCTCCTCCCGCTACTGCTAAGAAAAGAGACATTTTTCAAAACAAAAGTCACCCGAGAACGTTCGCAGCAATGTTTTTTTACTAAATAAATTTGTTCAGCTAATACTTCTAATACCATGTTTTTTCCCTCCCAGAGAAATAAAAGTCTTTTACAAAAATAAAAACAGTATTTTTCAGGTTAATATGTGAATATGTATTTTGACATATAGCGTTGTTAAATTAACCATAATAGAACCCTGTAGAACCATAATAGAACCATGTAGAACCCTACAAAACTCAATACTGGGCCAAATATATGTGTTCAGTTAAAAAAAGAAACAAATAATATATATATATATATATATATATATATATATATATATATATATATATATATATATACATACATATATATATATTTAGATTTCTGTATTCGAGAATTATTTGTAATGTAATTTTGTAAAATTGGGGTATTTGGGTACTATATTGCCTTTCAACGCAAAACTATCGTAAAACAATGTTTCAGGCGTCAGGCAGCGTATTTATATTTTATTTATAACCATATCATGTAAGAGCTTTCTGTAAGAGAGCTTTTAGAGGCGTTAATCACCACCACTGTGGACAATTCTGACTTGGTAAGTTTCTCGAGAACGGAGCATTTCACTCCTAAACACTATGAATGACTTTGTATTGTAAATCTTAACAATTTAATTATTGAGGCATTTTGAAAAAAATCGATGGAATTCCCATTTAAGTTATACTTAAAAATTGATGGAGAATCTGGTTAAGGGTCCTGTTCCAGTCGAATACACACATGGACAAATACCATTCAGGCATAAATATACAGTATTTCCAAAACTATCCAGACAGCCCTTCAAATAAGTGGGTTAATCTACTTTAAGGTGCACACATTGCTGACACAAGTGTTCATCTGCACACACCCACAGGCTGTATAATCTCCATAGAAAAGCCCTGTTAATAGAATGGGACACTCCGGAGCAGCCGCACATGAGCCTAAGGTCACCCCCCATGCCCAATGCCAAACGTCAGCTAGTGGGGTATAAAGCCCCCAGCACTGGGCTGTGGAGCAGTGGACCTATGATCTCTGGTGTGATGGAGCTCCGTCCTATATCTTTGGGATAAATTGGAGTCATCCAGAACTGATCATCCAACATCCGTACCTGACCTCCCTAATGCTCTTGTGGCCGAATGCAATCAAATCCTCGCAGCAATGTTCCATCTAGTGGAAAGCTTTCTCAGAAGAGTAAAGGCTGTTACTGTAGTTAACACTGGTAAACATGCAAACAGTTTTAGTGAAAAATTGCTCCTTGTATCTTCCTCCTTTTGGGACGTACACTGCAAGACCCCAAACCGGAGTATGTACAGCTTCAGATCACTTGTGAGAGTAGTGAGATGAACTTATGTGTTCAGCTTTCTAAAAGCATTTCGAAACCCTTAATTAAGCCAACTGTAGTTTGAGCCCATTTTCTTCCTGTTACCTAATTTATGTAAATGTAAATAAAATGTCACATGCAGTGTGTTTCTTTCGACTGAGATTCTGTGGAAACCTAAGTTTGTCTTTGGCCTTTATTTTTTCTTGTGCACTATATCAAGGTTATAAAAGATAAACCTGAATGGGCATTTGAAACTGTGTAACTATCCTTTCTCATTTGACATGCATGCAGTGAAACATATTTATGTATGGATCACACTCTGATGAATTTAGAGAGTAGTTTTGTGTACATTAATTTGCCTCAAACTTTGGAGTTTGGTGATCCTGTTAATCCGTCCGTGTCTTTGATGGATTTGTACTTTCCAGAGCATTTTGAATTGATAATACTTTTACTTTTATCTAAGCATATTTGTGTGTTTTATTAACTTTCATTTTACCTATTTTACCACTTAAATACATACATATATATATATAATATATACATATAATATATATATATATATTGTTTTATATTTGTTTTATCTATATAATTTTTTTAACTGCACTCCATTATTTCATCTCACTGATGTAACACTTTAAATGAGTATGTGCTTGGGCTTCTGAAGTCTGAGTTTTAGTTTCTTTTCTTCAAATGTGTGCACTCTTTTAAACCCACCTCATCTATTGACCCAATTTAATCCAATATTCACTGCCTCTTCAAAACAAACTCTCTTCCTCTTTATCTCTCAGCCAATCAGAGAGCGCCGAAGAGAGCAAGAAGCGCGCGGTGCCCCGCCCACCTCGGTCCGGAGGCGGAGCTTCAGTCGACTCTCCTAAAGCGCGTTCACGAAGAGAGAGAGAGCTTCGCGGTGGCGAGTAGAGCGAGTGAGAGAGGGAGAGAGAGAGAGGCTCGTTTTACACTGTAGGGGAGCGATATAGAGCGCGGTTATATTCGCACTTCTCTCACATAGGTAGAACGAAGTTTTCTTCTTCTTCCTCAGGGGAAGCGCTCCGAATTATTTTGTTGTTTTCTTTTTTGGGACTATTTCTGTGCAGTTAAATACAGTCTAAAGACACAAAAACCAACAAAATCATGTCGGCGTCAGCGGCGAAAGTCAGTAGAAAGGAGCAGAACTCAAATCATGACGGAGCGGACGAGACCTCGGGTAAAGTAACTATAATGGCGGCCTCCTAAGCACCGCCATTTTCCACTTACTTTTCTTTTCTTCCTCAGCCTACGGGCCGTTTTCAATTTTTCATAGAAACTGTTAGGAATGCTTTCAATCTTTCACGCTCACGTTAAGGAACAACTCGAGGTGTCGCACACAAACGTGGAGCGAGTCGTCCAGCCAGCCGCTGGGAGCTGCTGCTAAGCTAAAGCTAACTACATGAGGAGGCCATGTTTCCCCTACACGGCTCATTGTGCCACGCATGTTCATTACAGGCGACATTTAACAAAATACTCTCATTTGTGCCTGATAGCCGCACACTTTACCAAACCTTTCCTTACTCCGGACACCTTTGCGTGTTCTTGAGTGCCCTGGTGAGGTCGTGTGCGACCGAAAGGTGTTACTAATGAGGTAGTTACAGTGGCTTCTGTGTTAGTTAGCCTGTAGCTCGTTATTGTGTCTCCCCGCCATCACGACTCCATCAGTTAGTGCCTTGGCGGACAAGTTTGACTCCGATAACCGCAGGATAACTAAATTTAGAGGCTTTTTAGTGGACTGAATGGCTGCCCGGCACTACGCCTGGGTTATTTTCCTTTGAACCGTCTGCCTGGTGGTGTAAGTTTGTGTAGCTTTGGCTTGGTTAGCTAACCTAGCTCTGCTAAAGCGAGATTTCGCAGCGTGTGGCCTCGCTCATTCAAACCACGCGGCCCGGTGCGGTGGCAGGAAACGGTAGCCCGAGCATAATCAGCGGGCTTATCAGTTCATAATCGTGCTGTTACTTTAATTCGTTCAGATCCTCCCTTTTCTGGACGATTGGGCCACTCGGCCGTTTCGTTTTGTTCACTGTTCCGGGTCTTTTCGGGGCAGTCCTGCGTGTTTACATTCAGTTGTGGCAATACTTTATGTGAGGGTGTTAGCCTGGCAGCTAAGTCACATTTAGGCGGGGAATGCATTTCTATGCATAGTACCTGTCACTGTGTCCAATGCGGTTAGAAGGGCTCTGTGTCAGATAAATCTGTTAATAAATTAGAGCGAGCTTTTGTTAAACTGGTTTCTGTGTCGCTTTTTTCAGAAAAAGAACAGCAGGAAGCTATTGAACACATCGATGAAGTACAGAATGAAATTGACAGGTAACTTAGCCTTATCACCTTTCCTTCTACTCTCAATGCTTGTGTTCTCTTTATTTATCCATCAGAGTCAGCTTCATGTGCAATGTAGATTTTATGTGGATTAAATGTACTCTGATGCCTGCAATGCTGAAATATATGTTTAGGAGAGAACTTGTTAGAGTGAACTAAATTAAGCATTCGAGGTTTGTTGATTTTGCACCTTTTTTTTTTTTCCCTCTCCAGATTGAACGAACAAGCAAGCGAGGAAATTTTAAAAGTAGAGCAGAAATACAATAAGCTACGCCAGCCATTCTTCCAGAAGAGATCAGAACTCATAGCCAAAATTCCAAACTTCTGGGTCACAACATTCGTCAACCATCCACAAGGTAAGAGAATGAGTGCTTATTGCTGAAAATTTACCTATTTGTTTTGCAATTGCATGTCTGCACACTTGAGCATACTGCAGGGATATAGGTTCTGCTGTAATCATTTGCATCTTTTTAAATATAGAATATTTTTTAAGAATATATCCTACACATTGAATTATAGATCTTTGGAAAAATATTCTGCACAAAAAATGCAAATTTGATCTCTGGAGATTTTATATCCCTTCAGTAGATCTAATGGACTTTGAGTACATTTTAAATTCTGCTTTGAGCTATTACTGTGATAATGTCTTAGACAAACTGGCCATTCCTCTCTAATTTTCTGTGCTCTTCATTATTTGGCTTGATGTGGCTACAGCTTTTGACTTGTGCTGATGTTCTTGTATAGTGTCAGCCTTGCTTGGGGAGGAGGATGAGGAAGCACTTCACTACCTGACCAGGGTCGAGGTCACAGAGTTCGAGGACATCAAATCAGGTTACAGAATAGATTTTGTAAGTATCCTAAGTGTGTATTTTGTGAATTTGATTTGCAAAATAAAGCTGAGAATGTGGGCACTGATATCTCTTTACTTTTTCAGTACTTTGATGAAAATCCTTACTTCGAAAACAAAGTCCTGTCAAAAGAATTTCACTTGAACGAAAGTGGTGATCCATCTTCAAAATCAACTGAAATTAAATGGAAGGCTGGAAAGGTTGGTTTTGCTTCCTTAAATTACGTTAATGTTAAGCAAGGGTGGCTTGTTCCATACAAACAAAAATGTGTTTACATCGCTCTGAAACTGCAGGACTTGACAAAGCGTGCCGAGCAGACACAGAACAAGGCTGGAAAGAAAAGGCAACATGAGGAGCCAGAGAGTTTCTTCACCTGGTTCACTGATCACTCCGATGCAGGCGCAGATGAGCTCGGAGAGGTCATCAAGGATGATATCTGGCCCAATCCTCTGCAGTACTACTTGGTAAGACTTTCAAGTAACTGTTGCATATGTCTAAAGATTAGTGACACGATGTTCACAATGCAGTGGCAGCAGTGTGTGTGTGTATATATATATATATATATATATATATATATATATATATATATATATATATATATATATATATATATATAAAAAATTTTTTTTTCCCCATTTATTTTTTTTCCAGGTCCCAGACATGGATGATGAGGAAGGAGAGGGTGAAGATGAGGATGATGAAGAGGAGGAGGAAGGATTGGAAGACATTGATGAGGAGGGAGATGAAGATGAGGGAGAGGAAGACGAGGAGGAAGATGAGGGAGAGGATGGAGAGGCAAGTTTTTAAAAAATCCAGTTTAAAAATGCAATATTAGAACCAAGACAGTTACAGCACATCTTTTTAAATGACATGTAATGGGAGTTTATCTGAGGTTTTCTGGGTTGTAACTTTTTCCCCTTTCTACCCACAGGATGACGGGGAGGATGACTAAGAACTGATTAAGGACATATTCCCGTATTCCAACAACCTCCATACCTGTTCTTTCCTTTTGAAGTCATCCTCCAACCTGAGGGAGCAAAAAGCTTTGTTTATTTTGATCTCTTTTTTTTATTTTATTTTTGTGCTCCGTCTTCTGTTCTACTGAAGCCTCTCCTGTCCTTACCATGTCTAATACGAGTTAATTCCCTGGATATACCTGCATTGGAAAACTAGTGGCATCTCGTTGCTGAAGCCTCTTGCGTCATCAACTATTACACCATCTCCAAAGACAAATACAAGATATTAACAATCTGCACGTCATCCTCTGTAGACTAAACTGAAGTAAATAGCAATTTATATAAGTATATAAATACATTTTCTGTGAATGGTTGTGAATTGAAATAATAAGCCATGGTGCAGTGATGACCTAATCATAGCATACATACCTAGCCACTTTTTTCTTCATTTCTTTATGTATATTTTCTTTAATGCAGGGGTGGGCCCCAAAGAGTTGACACTGTTTTTTCCTATGTGATTATTGGACAAATGGAAAGCACCAGCTTGTTCTTGTCACCTCTTGTAAATGTCTGGGGTCAATATCAGGGTATGACCGTCATTATTGTAGGCAGTTAAATGGGGTTGGGTGGGGCAAGTGGGCATTTGACACATCAACATTTGGGTTTATGTTGATTGAATTTTCATTGTAATGTTTTACAGACACCCATGAGGTTTGAAATTTACATTTTTAATAAAAATAAAACACAAAAAAACTTCCTCTTGTAATTTTGAGCTTGGCTAATTAAAGGATTATTTAAATGAGAAAATAAATCGTAGAAACTTACAAGAAATGTACATTTGGGTCTTTTTAATCCACCTTTTCTTCCACTCCAAGAGTATTGGAAACGTTAAGATGTGTTTTTTTCCTACAATAAAAGGTGTGAAATATTTCATGCTGGTCATTATTTTTGACCAAATAGGGAAACCCTTTCATTTCAGCTCTTCAACGTCTTTAGCTGTTACATAATTTGTGATAGTTGAAGCTTCGTTTGTTGATGAAGTGCTATTGGTGTGAAATCATATGCGAAGGGGTGAACTACGTGATCACTTAAAACTTAATACAAAGACATTAACGTCTGTTATTTTGGGGTAACGCAACGATGAACACGTAGAAAGCGGAACTTTTTCTCTGCGCAGTAAAGGGAGTAGTAAACAACTCTGGGTCAACGCAAAAAACAAGCATTACACTCCCTCACTACCCCTAGCTACTTCCACTAGTTCTCAGGATGATGTTACATTACAGTTTAGATATAACTAAAGCCTAAATATTTAGCGACTAAAAGTTAGTTTAGTTAAATTCCACTCTGTGCACGCTGCCGTCCGATCGGGCAGTAAGTGAAGAACACTTTGTTTGCGAGTAAAGGGAGCAAGGGGAAGTATAGAGGGTCTCTTTTGTTTTTTAGTCTGCGCCCATAGGTAACCATGGCATCAGACTCACTGCGAAAACTGCAGTTTTAGTGAATGTCCCAGAAGGGAAGCGCCGAAATGATGGCTTAATGTTATGTAGCTAGTGGTTTTATGTGATAAGCAACGTATTGCAAATTAAAACCATTTATTTGCAGCCACCTTAGCTTCATAATCGCTAGCTAGCTAGATTGTACCGCCTGTCTTATCCTCAGCTAACGTTAATAGGTTAGTAACGTTAGCTATAGCCAGTGAGCTGCTTGCAAGTTAGCTAGCTAACATTAAGGCATGGTGGTCTGCTGAGACAGCCCCCCTTCTGTAGTTTGACAACATGTTTATGGACGAATTGCTCGATGCTGTTGGTGTTCAGTCATCGTGGAAAACCTCCCACCAGCGAGCACAAGAGTCGGTACGTGAGACTTTAGCGCCTAGCATTAGTGAGCTAAAGTAATGTTAGCTTTAGCTTCCCTTCCGGCGTTTTTCAGAGGCTGGTCACTGGAGCCGGGATACTGCTGCAATCGAAGTCAGTAATGGGGAGCTTCACCGATTTAAAAAAAACCTGCATAGTTGAAGGATTGAGACGTAAACAAAGCCGTTCAGAGTGGTTTGGTGTGAAATGCTACGTTCTAGAGAAACTTGCCGGGTCAGAATTGTTCACAGTGATGGTGATGGGAACCAGACGTCCACTTCTGTAAGCTCCCTTACAGAAAGTTGTTAACTTATACATAATAATTAGGTTAGGTAGCTATATGTAACCTACCCTAATGTCTGACACTTTATCGCATAGTTTTGTGATAAGGTTTTGGATTGAAATACATTTTAATCAATTTATTTTAATCCATTCATGAAAACCTTTTTTTTTGTTAGATTTATGACTATTCTACTATCATCAACATGACATATAAACATCAGAAGACACATGTAGGTTCACTAGTTGTATTGGAAGATAAATAAAATGGCTGTATTTGTGCTGTAGACATGGGAACCCCTGGTTCTTATCACCACCACTGTAAAGAAAACTCTACAATGAAGTGCTGAATTATTAAGACATTTTAAAAAATTGGTGAAATTACCCTTTAAATGTGTTCTTCAGGGCTGGTATCAGATTCCTCCATATTTATAATAGCCACAAAACTGGTTCTAGATCAACAGTCCTACTCCTGAGGTGGTTGGTTTGTGAATACAGACCTATTAGTAGTGACGTAAGCCAAGTACCATCACGGACCTCACATTTAGGTTCACAGGGGACGTATTATTCAGCGTCGTGAGAGGGTAGAGTAGCCTAAACTCAAAGTCATAGAACATAGAATATTGTTACTTATGAAATTATAACTTAAATAAGAGTAAAACACTTTTTCAAAAAACTATTTAAGCAGAAGTTAAAATATATATCATGTTAAAACTCCAGAACTGAATTCCTATAGAACTAATTAGCCCATCCAGCTTCTATCGGAATAGTAACTAAAGTTTGTTAGGCTCCATTCTTCTCTTTTTGGTCTAAAATGCCACAGATGCTGTCACCACCATAACACAGAAACACAAAAAGGAATTAGAAACTAAATGCCAGGTACTAAAATGCAACTGAGTGAGGATCAGATGCCTTTCCTCACAAATATTCGTAAGTAGGAGTAAAAATGCTATGATTTGAAAATACTCAGAAAAGCACAAATCCTTTAAAATTGACCAAGGAGGCATTCCAGCCTAAAACTGGAATTGCACCCTCACGTTTGGCAGATTTCACGATTTTTTATCCTTTTCGCATTTTCATCCGGTGTACTCTCACTACAAAACCCATAATCCCTGTGACGCTCAACAAATCTGGTCTAGCCACCAGTCTTTAGGCTAAGAAGTACATCTGATGCTAGCTATAATCAGTGATGTAGCACTAACCTTAAATGTATATTTTTTGTTTGTCAAAGTAATAGTTCAAAAGAATAATCTAAAACAGCCTGTCCTCAATTATTCACACCAAAACATCTTTAAAATTTACTTCCACCTTGAAGCTCGTCAGCCTAATCAACCTTATCTTTAATCCAGTAAATCTTGCTTTAGAGGCTACTGTGGTGTCGCTGTAAGAGGTGAGTGGGCTTTTTTATCAGTTGTAGTGATGGTTACATTTTTAATTTTGGCTGGAGGGTCCCTTTGAGTAAATCTTATTAAATAAATATTATTAGTTAATAGCTACCTCTGTTCATGCATCTAACTTAAAAAAAAAGTGCCATGCATTAAACCGGTCACCTGTGTGTGCTACACGTGAATCATTGTCTTAAAAAAGTTTTTGCGAATATTAAATATTCCGTTTAACTTGCTATTGTGGTCACCATTTGCTTTCTCAGAAAACCTGTCAAACGAAGCCGGTGCATACTGCAGAAGCTGAAGCGCAGGTCAGATCTGTTCGGGACTGTGGAGCTCAGACAGATCCGCATGAGCAGCTCCCACAGCCACAGCTCTCATCAGACCCGCCTGGGCTGGAGGACTTCCTGCGCAGAGTAGAGGATATGGTCATCAGGGAACTGGTGAAGAACGCAAAGAGCCACGCTTTCGATGGGTTTGAGGTGAACTGGGCGGATCAGCATCAGACGGTGAGAGCCAGACATGCAGCAGCTTCATTTGAAGGCCTGTCTGTGTAATAACTCATGTTGTTATGATTATGTTTTTGTACGAATGCTTGTACAGGTGTCCTGCTTATACTGTCTCGGACATCCTGACGCAAAGCAGAGGGGTCTGCAAGTTACCAGTGTATCTTGGAACTGCACAGGTTCTGTTATTGCCTGTGCTTATGGCCGGTAAGTGCCCTTCTTGCCTGGAACGTTATATAGCATCCAGTTTAAATGGTTCGGTCGAATCAGGAAGGGTGTGAGGATTTCAGTACAGTTTCAAAAAAATTGAAACGGAGAAATTTAAAACTGTATAGATGCAACTTTTGCTCTTTTCCAAGGGCCTTAAATTAAGTCAGAGTGTAAAGTTTGCATGTGTTTGAATTGTGCTTTTGTGACATGTTGATGCTGATAAATGGAGAGAGATCAGGTTTTTGTGTTAGCTTTTAAAGCTCTTTTGTGTTAGCTTCTGCAGCTCAGTTAGACTGTTTTATTCAATTGCTATTTTACACAGACATGCTACTTTGAAGTCGTTTGTTTTGACACAAAACTTGTAACAGCCTCTGCAAAGCCATGACATTTCAACACATAAATGATCAAATATGATTAAAATAATAATTTAATCTTGACCTCAGAATCAAAAACCTTCTCAAACCTGAAGATGTATGTATCATTACACCCCTACTAATCAATGCCATCTGTGTTAGTGTTGATAATGGAGACTGGAGCACCGAGAGGTCCTGCGTGTGCATGTGGAACCTGGACCGAAGCAGACTGAATCCTAAACAGCCGGACACGGTCATAGATACGACGACACCTGTCGTGTGTGTGTCCTTCCATCCCCTGCGGCCATCTCTGATTGCTGGTAAATTTTAGCCACAGATGTTCATCATCGTCATTGCCCACTGCACAGTCCTGCACTCTGTAGGATCCGGGTTTAAGGGGAATGTGTGTTGGGTCATATAGAACACATGGGTTGTATATAAAGTTGTAAAGTTATACCTTTTAGTCAGTTGCCCTCTACTAATTCTTTTTGTGATGTAATTTGCATATCCGATTATTTTTGCTCATTTTAGAAAGAATACACCAGTAAGCATTAGCTGAAAGTGGAATAAACAAGAGTTTCTCAAAGGGGAATTCCACCTATTTTCGAAATTCCTGCATAATTGAATTATGAAATAAAGCGATTCAGAGTAGTTTAGATATAAAATGTGTAATTCTAGAGAGTTTTACTGTGTTGTTCACAGTGTTGGTGATAGGAACCAAATGCCTAAAGAGCTTAATGCCTCTAACACCTCTATCACAGAAAGTTACTATATGGTTCGGAATACATTATCTGATGCCTGAAATATTTTTCATGATATTTCTCTGATAAGTTTTTGGCCTAAAACATATTTTCTTAAATACATGGATTACAGAGAGGTACATGCAGGATGTTGTAAGGCAAAACAGTCCCCAAGGATCAGATTTACCACTGTTTTACTGTTTTCAGCATAGTAATATATACAGCAATAAAATGGCTATATGCACTGTAGACATCACAACCTCATATCACCACCACTGCAAAGAAATCAGTAAGTTTCTCTAAAATACACCATTTCACATCAAACCGATCCGAATTATTTTCTGTTTACATCTCATCTATTGAATTATGCCAAAATATAGAAACATCTATAAAATTCAGGTTTTAAAGTGCCTCCAGAATCTGGCCTACTGTTTTGGTGGCCATGATGGTTCTGATAAGGCTAGCTACTGAAAGCCTCTGACAGATTAAAGGTAAAGCTGAGATCCTCTTCGAGTTGAAGGTAACGCTTATGTAAAAATACATATATATATATATTTATGATTGTGTAAAAAACTGCTCTCCTTCTGGTCTTTCTTCAGGAGGACTCTACAGTGGAGAAGTAATCGTGTGGGATACAAGTCGCACTCAAGACCCTGTTTTTGCTCAAACAGGGATGTCGCCAGATACTCACAGAGAGCCCGTATATGAGGTACTTGTCTCTTTTGCAGTTTAAAAATGTACACTTTCGCCTTGTCTTACCGTGACAGTAACTGCCTTAAGGGCTGTAGGTGTGAAAGTATTGACAAATGTCTGTACCATCTTTTCAAAGTTTTCACTTGTCGGTTTTAACCATAACCCAAGCATTTGTATCTGTATGTTTGTAGGTGAAATGGGTTCCAGGGACTCGTAGAGGAGAACTAGCTGTCCTAAGTGCATGTTCAGGTGGCCGAATCCTGCTGTGGAGCGTAGATGGAGTGGAGGGTAAACTGACCTTAACTTCTGGATACGCTCTTGTCCGGCAACAGGTCCCACAGAGCAGTTCGATGAGCAAGGTTTGTGCCATGGTGGCTTTAGGTTGAAATTTCAAATTTAGGAACCTTCATTCACAGTAATGACAGCTTTTATTACCTGACTTCACTTGATAGTGAAATGACTTGTCACTTTATGTATGTGTAATACTGAAAGAATCGTATTGTTTTCCTAGTTGCAGACCAGAGGTGGCACGAATATAGGAGTCACCTCTCTAACACTTTCACCCTGGGACACGGACACATTTCTTGTGGGCTCTGAAGGAGGCATGGTGCTCAAATGCTCTTTCAGCAGTCAGACAGTAGCAGCGGTTCCCCCTGATGGCGAGAGTGTGACATTGCGTTCACCAGCACAGTTCTCTTTCTCAACAAGAGGTGGCCCAATACATTCGCTTCACTTCTCCCCATTCCATAGGTGAGCTTTGTTTGTTTTGTGAGATATAAATTGCATTTTACTTTTACGTAAATCATAGTATTTCTTAGACATCCAGTGCTCGTTTTGCTGCCACTGTTTCCCTTGTTCTAGAAACCTCTTTGTGAGTGTTGGGACAGATGGCTTGGCCCATATCCACAGCATACTGCAGCCCCGACCCCTGCTGACTCTAAGAGTGTCTGACTCCTATGTATTTGGAGTGCGATGGTCACCTGTCCGCCCTCTAGTTTTTGCTGCAGTCACTGGACAAGGTAGGAAGTGATGCAGTATGACAACAATGTCCATAAGATTAACTGTTGGGTCTTAGTAGTTATTAGCGTACAATTTGTATGTCAACAAATTCTTAATCACCGAATGCTGCACCATAATTATTCTCTTCCCACACAGCTCTGCTCATCAGATTATAGAGCTGACAGGATTTCCTGTATTTACAATGCCTATTGCTTCTATTTAAAATCACCACTTGTTTAAAGAAATTGCTTATTGTTTGCACAGGTTTGGTGCAAGTGTTCGATTTGGGTCGGAGGTCACTCAGGCCAGCAGCCACCATTGACCAGAACACTGGAGGACAGCCAGCATATTGTCTGGAGTTCAGCCCCCAGCAGCTCCTGGCAGTGGGCAATGCTGAGGGAACAGTCAAAATTTGGCAGCTGAGTGCAGAGTTAACAGAGCAGGGCTCGAGAGAGACTGCAGTTCTGGAGCAGCTGGCAAACGAGGTGGCAGAGTGAGCTTAAAGGCAGATTTGGTTTTAATGCTGCCTGATCATGAAAACAAAGACTTTCTATTTTTCTGAAATTGTTGCTTCATAAATTGTCAATTGTAAGATTGTGTAGTTGTGTGCAAAAGTTTGAAGACTCCTGGTCAAATGACATGCTTTGTTGATTTTCTATGTGAAAATCTACAGTGAACACAGACTTTTTTCTGCAGATTTTATTGCAGTTTCTATTTCTAGTTTAACATATTAGAAAAAATTAAATATAAAATGTACCATAACTTTTACACAGGCCACATTTTATGTTTTATCTTTACCAATATGTTAAAAACTAGCAAAGAGTAATTGTACATGTGCAGAATGTGCAGAAGTGTGTCCTCTGTTCTCAGAGGATGTGTCCTCTCAAAGGATGTGTACTTATTTTTACTTAGAAAATCAACAAAACTTTTCCATAAAACTGTGTTAACTGTGTAAATGCATTTTACCTTTTGCTGCTAAATAAACCAGTCCGTTAGAATTAGTCACTAGTCTTTCATTAAAATAAATGGTAAATATGATTGGGGGGGGGTTGGGCAAAGTCACACAGAACAACATTACCAGTTCTAACCAGTAGCGTTTATTAATGCACACTGCAGAATTACGCACGGTGTTGTAGCATATCATCTCTATAGGTTTCTTAAAATCAAGCGAAGCACTGAAACAGGTAAAACAACCACAAATTGCAGACAAATCCACTACACTATTGTCAGTGAAGCACAAAGAGAAGTGCGAGATAAATAGTTAAGAGTAAGGTCGATACCTAGATACAGATACAGGGTGCTATAGAGAATTCTAACGTCAGATTCATGCAGTTGAGCTGTGTGTTCTTGTGAAGGGAAAACGCATCCCGATTGGTCACTGGCAGGCAAAGAGGCGGGAGATCAGTTGACGAAAAGCGAGCGAGTGAATTCCACAAAGTCAAACGCTGACGGGAGCTCGCGACCCTTGCTGTCCAGGTAGGGCTTCATGTGGGAAATGCAGTAGTCTGCTTGCTCCTTGGTCAGATTCTGCAGAGGAGAGAGAGACCAGATTACATTACCAAGGAACAGATTAAAGTGCATTTAATCCACCTGTCAGTTTCAATGTGCAATTATGCTAGAAAAGAACACTTCAGTCTGTTCAAGTTGCAGAGCTAGTACGTACCTGGTAGAGTTCTTCCTTGGTGACATATGGCTTGTTCTCGGCACTGAGAGCACGGAAAGCACTCTCGATCTCCTCGCTTGACTTCACGTTCTCTGTCTCGCGGCTGATCATGAATGCCATGTACTCCTGCAAGGACACGTTGCCATCCCTGCAAATACATGATTGAGAATGATTAGCAGAGTAGACTGGGATGGGGGGGGTGAAGAGTCCTTTTTCACTCAAGCAGACAGGATGCTCACCTGTTGGGATCCACTGTGTCGAGAATGGACTCAAACTCCGGGTCTGGTTCTCCTTCTTCCACCATGGGCAGGTCGTAGCCCAAAGAGCGCAAGCAAGACTTGAATTCCTGGTGATTCAGACGACCTGATTTCTCTTTGTCGAAGTGCCTAAAGAAGCAAATCACAGTTCCATCTGATACTATAGTGTCGAAAAGGGGTCAAATAATAGTCCAGAAAGAGTCATTTGTGTAGTGCTTTTCATTTAACATCACTTACTTGAACATCATGCTGAACTCCTTTAGGGCTTCTTCTGTTACTCCCGTAGTGTTTCTGGAAAATAAGCATCAACAATGAGTCAAAAGCACTGGCTAGTAGTGTAGATCAAGACAGAACAGAGTAAAATTCTATGAGCATGACTGCTTAGTACTGTGTGGACACTTTACTGTGCAGTCTGTATTTAACCATGACAGTCTTTGTTATTTTGTCTCTGTACTGCAGCTGATTAGACCTGAATCCATGATTGCCTCAAATCTGACACACATACATGAACATGTGCAGGTATCTTCCATTATTATGCTCCTCCAGTATTTTAATTAAGTCCATGCTTGTGTCATGATTTTTTGTCTTTAGTTTTACCTTCAGTAACTGCGTTTTCTGACCAATATTGTGATTTAAATTGCAATTATTTTTCTAGGTGCAAGTCTGTTTTTTGGCCCAGACCACCAGTATATCCATTTTTTTTCTGGCCTGAGGCTTGAATGCTCGGTGTGACTGGGTCAAATTTCTCCTCTTAAAATTTAAACCAGCAGTTTTGATCATGTGGAGTACAATTTAAATCATAGCTCTTGCGATCTGAAAACTATTCTTTCAAATTGCGTTTTCAATTTGAAAATAATTCGTCTTTCAGCCTTACACATACCCTCAAATTAAACAGGCATTCTGCACCTTAACTTCACAGTCACTTTCCTTTCAGATGCCATCTAGTGTAGTACAAATCAACGAAGATCACATCACTTTCCAATTATTTACCGACTCGCTGTTTTCATGTCTGTGATGTGGTATTGAGGCGTATCTACATATCAGACCTGGCTTGGATCTGTTGTTCCAGGTTGTGCTGCATCCTCATGCCTAGCTGGTCGAGCTGGTCCCACTGCTGGGCCAGCCCCACCGTGCTGTGCTCCGTGTATTTGTTATCCAGGATCAATGCCTCCTCCATGGCTGCTCCCAGATCCTCGATTTTCTTCAGCTGGCTGCGCATAGCACGGATCTCCTGGTGCTTACGCTGTACAGACACAACCGCATATGAGTAAGACCAGAGCACAGCACATGATAAGCCACAGCAAGCAAAAGCAGCTGTTGTGCCAGCTGATGTCTGTGTAAAACCAAAGGTGCTTGACTGGATTTGGTCAATACTGGAATCGTCCGATCACCAAGCAACCAATTTTTTAAGCCAGCTTTGTTCATGCACGCTAAATTTAAAAGCTGTTGCTAAAACCTTTGCAAGAATGTCATCAAAAATATTTCCAAGTGTGAAGTACCTACGTTTATGTTTATACTATGTAACATTTACAGCATTTAGTAGACAATCTTATTAAGCATTCATTTATTCTGCAATAAAAATAATTTTGACCAAATAATAAAATTTGTTCATATTCCACTGTCTGATTTGACCGTGAATTGGCACTGGAGTCGGTCATAAAGCGTCCTGATAGGTGCACCACTACACAAAACTGTTTTTATTTTAAATCTCGCTCACCTTTGTAGCCTCCAGCTGAGATTCCAGAGTTCCAGACTCTTCCACCATACAGGACCTGCCCACATAAAAATCAGTGAGACCAAACCCAGGAAGCACAAGAAAAAGCATAACATGCAACTTTGAGCAAAGACATCACACTCACGCCACTACATCACTAACTTCTCATTCTGAATCCTACAAATTATGTGAGCTGGTTACACCCATTCTGTTTTTAATTAAGTGGATGGAACAGATTATGCTTCACCAACGGATTCTCTGCAAGAGGGCAAAGCTAATACAATGTTTACACAATTAGATTTAGAGTTGGCATAGTCTGAAACTACCAGAGTAACCAATAACTACTGCCTGACTGTGAAAAACAGACATGAGCCAAAGGCAGAGGAAGAAACTCAAAGTGTGAGTAAAGTACTACATCATCTCTCAAGAGTCTTACATCTCTAAATTTCCTGTTATACTCATAATACCATGACTTACCTACATTTTGTAGGGAAAAGTCAACTACACACTACAAGCCATTCGAGAATGCACCCAGAATAGCCACTCAATTCATGCTAATGGAGCCCACTCACATCTATGGTAACCATGCTAGATTGGGGTCACTGCCAGCAGGGTTAGAAACTGCCATTTTCTGACTTGCTCATGTTTTTATTCAATTTAGTAGTTCTGGCTCCAAGAGTATATGTTTCAGGACTAGATGCATCTGAACGTGAGAGTTTAAATTGTTTTATGCATCAAACAATGTATAAAAATACAAAAATGCAAATGTGTGGCAGTCCAAATTCAGATCAGGAAAAAGGTCAAATCCCCATTTGGGAAATATTGTTGCAGTTTCCAGCCCTGAATCTGGTGCATGGACATTTTCACCAAAACAAAAACCTAGAAATTAAAGAAGTGAACTAAATGCACTCTTCAAAACAGTGCTGGAGTGTAGCCAGGCTTGTAAGATTAGGAAGCTGGAAGGGTCCATCTGCCTGCCTCATGGCCACATCGCAGTGAATGTTAGTAGAGGAAACTGAGCACACGCAGAGCCCAAATGGTGTTTTTTTTTTTTAGACTCAAGTGCATGACGAGACAACCCAAACAATGTGGGGTAAAGGAGGAGTGGGACCAGATGAGGAAACCAGAAAAATGGAAAAACCTTCCAGAAAGATCATCATCGACTTCATACTGATAGACACGGATAACCCGCCGATAGGCTATGCTATTCAGAGAGGAGGAGCAGGGAGAGAGGAAGGAATGGGAAAAAATAGCATAAACGAACAAAAGGAGACATTTGGAAAGAGACAAAATACACATTAACACAAAGTAAAGGGAAAAAAATCAAACACGAGGGAAACATAAGGAGAGATACACAGGGAAATAATATTAATAGAATATCTTCTTTGGTATCACCAACGAAACCGTTCCATTTGTTAACCATTCATACTCCGTCACCCTCAACTGTCTTATTTATCAGTCTAATGACAACCTGTTCCCTGCCTAAACTTACATAAGTGTCAATGTACCCCTCTGCATTCATTTTAAAAGACTTTTAAAAGTTTTTAACACACAAACATACTAAACATTTAACACAAACACACACAGAAAAATATTGAAAAATAGAAAATTTATATTAACCCATCCAGAAGATATGTCCTGATTAGAAAAATGATCCCAAGCATCAGGAGTAGCAGCGAGAGAGCAGGAAGGGGGGAAGAGAGAGAGAGAAAAACAAACAACAGTTAAAACATTGAGTGGTGACATCATAGCCACTACTCAATAAACCACATACAGGCACATGTAAATAGAGGTGCACTGTGAAAAGCCCGTTTCTGCTTACAAAACGTCCACAAACCACTCACGCGGTTGTGTTTAAGCTTGTGATTTTAATGCATCTCCCCACCCACCACAAGATATAGACAACACAGCAAAGCATGCACTGATTTCTAAGAAAGTGTTGATGGACAGCAAGGATGAACATGGACATCCAAGCAGTAGAAAATGTGCTGACAACGAAAGCTGAATCAAATGTCTATAGGACTGTGTAGGATGCAGTAAAA